TAGGTCATTCAATGGTCGATTATATTTGACGTGAACACATAGTAGGTCGCCTATTAGGATTTGACGGTTAAACCATATCCTAGAGCGATCCAGAGTTATAAGGACAAAAGGAAATACTACATTATTCTTCTACGAGTTCTTGAGAGTAAATTGTGTACTTCATGCATCCGATCGTTAAGGAGTGTTGCTAGACGCCACCCTTGATTAGTAAATCGATTATGATCAATTTACTACCGGCTTAGTATTGAACCTATGGGGTCGCACACTAACGAGTGTTCTGATCTTTGCTAAAGGATTAGTTACTTTATTAGTTGATAATTAAATTAAAGAATTTAATTAGTCAAAAAAGTTAAAGTTATTAGTCCAAATGAAATATTATTATATTCTTTGCTAGCACAGATGTTATAATTAATATTGTGAACCAATTGAAGTTTTCTATTTGGAATAGAAAATTAAATTATATCTCTTGGTGGAAATATATATATAATTAATATTCATTTATATAAGGTGTATATATAAAACATTAATAAAGAACACTTGATCCAATTTTGATTGGACATGGAATTCCATAAAAGAATTCTTACGCAGGAATTCAATTCAAACTCCTGAAAGGACTCGGCCACTCTGCATATATGGAAAGGATTGGAATTTTCCATTGAAAATTATGGAAAAGAAATCCAATTCTAGAATTGGCTAAGTCACATACATAGTCCATGAAGGACGTTGACTGGCAACAACCCATTTAGAATGGGACCGCAAATTTTTACTTAATTGTTCCATAAAATTTATTTTTGGAATAAATTTTTACCCTAAGTAAACTATTACCTCAACCAATGGAAAAGGTTTTAGGTAATGTTATATAAAAGGTGATGGAGAAAAATTTGCCGTATTGATTCTTGAGAAGAAAAACACTTTGTGAAAGTGAGAGTACAATACAAAGGCAAGAGAGAAAATACAATTACAAGAAAAGTGTTTCTTGTTCTTCTAACATTGAGTTGAGATTTTTGAGAAAAATTTCAACACAATATTCTTCGTTCAATTTGTTCGCGAGTTTCGTTGATCAAAGAGTTGATAACAAGGATCAGTCTCAGTGTGGATACGCATAGACTCTTCGCACTATCGAAGAATTTGAAACTAGACTTTCTTCACCAGGTACGTCTTAGATCTGATATATTGACATGTAAGTAAATTTTAAACACGAAAAATATCTACCTAGGATTGTTATTGTCTTCTGCTGCGTGTTATGAACATCTATACGCAATCCTTCGGTGGTATCAGAGTCGTGGTATATTGTGTCTAAAATTTATTTACGAAATATTTTAATATTATATTTGAAGAGTTCAAACCATAATACATGTGTCTTGTGCAATTGTCAAATCGTTTGAATGTTGATATTATTTATTGTGGATAAAATATGTATTCCTATAACTATTTGAGATAGTTCATAACTTGAATTTGAAATTTTGTATTAGATACGATGGGAATCTATAATAAGTTACATGATTCTATTGTTATTTTTAATTGTTATTAGCTCATGAGATGTTAATTAATAATAGTTTTCTGGCATGAATTATTTTTATGTGATATATAAGATAAACATGTTAGAAGATGTTGAATTTTGTTTTAATGTCACATGTTTGTTCGTTACATAGTTTTGAATTATTTATCACATGTGATGTAAATCAATTTAGGACTAAGCATGTAGACAATTTGAACTACATTCACATGCTATAAAAGATTTGATCTTCATGTTATTAAAAACTGTTTTAGTAACAATTCCTTCTTACTAAAATTTGAGTTATTAAATAATAAAATATAAGATATTTTATTATATAGCTATCCATCAAAGTAAATAATTTTACTTATTTCTTGTTTATAAGGAGCGGCCTGACTACTAGGAGACTTATAGTTCGAGAATATGTTTTATTGCATTAGAAGCATGGATTGAAAGAATTATTCAATTTTTTACTAGACGTCTGGACTACCCCGGGGAGTATAAAATTTAATAAGTTCTTTGTTATCATGATGGTTGAACTCAACTATGCCAATAGGATCGACCTGACTACCAGAGGACTATTTGACATAGAGCTATTTAAAGAAATTGTATAGGGATACAATTGGTAAGAATACCTATCTTTAAAATATATGTGAGAAACGACTTGACATCCAAGGGGCTCATACATATTGTTAAAAGATTCCTTTACTCCACTAACAGAAATAAAGATTTCGTAAACTATAATGAGGGTAAATAGTTTAAATAATTAGTGAAAATATCATTTAGATAAAAGTCCATGTCTCTATGATATATGCAAATATGTTCTTATATTATTGCCTTTTCTTTTCTATATTTTAGATTTCTCAATATGTTTGTTATATCACTGCATGAAATACTTGAGACCAACAAGTTGGTAGGACCAAACTTTGATGACTGATATGAAATTTGAGAATTGTTCTTATGCATGAAAAGCTCACTGATGTGATCGATAAGCATGCAAAGATAATCCCACCAGAGAATAATGTTCAAGGCACCAAGATTTATCATAAACACTTGAAAGAATGTCTTGCTATTAAACACATCATTCTCGCTTCTATGAGTTCTGAACTCCAGAGGAAACATCAGAATATGGATCCAACTGCAATCATTGAATATCTTAAGAAGATGATTGATACATAGTTGGACATTGAAAACTCTCTGGTTGGACCTCTTGTCAATCATATGATTGTTCTTACCGAAAAACATGAGAAGTTGGGGTACAAGCTTGGTAAAGAGCTTTCTGAAGATTTGATCTTGCAGTTAGTATATGATGCTGTATGTTTTCACTGTAAGAAGAAAGGGCATTGGAAGAGAAACTGCAAGGAGTATTTTGCAACTCTAAATGACAAGAAACAAGGTGAGACATTAATGAAAAATGTTTAAGGTTTCTCTAGCTACTACTAATTCTTCACTGTAGGTATTAGATAATGGCAGTGGTTATAACATATGCAATATGTTGCGACGTAGGTGTAGGATCAATTTCTTTAATAATACCAACGGGCAAAGTACTTATGTTCGATGATTGTTATAACGTTCCTAAATTTGTTTCGAACATAATTTCAGCTTCTATGTTAGACAAACATGGTTTTCGCATTATTATAGGCAATGGTATTTGCTCTGTTAATTATGGTGATAATTTATATGTGAATGACTATCTCCGACATGATGTTTATGTCTTACCTAATGTGAATGCTAATTCGATTATGCATGTTTCAAGTCTTAAGAGGAAAAGAGATGATCATGTAAATCATACATACCTTTGGCATTGTAGGCTTGGTCATATTGGAGAGAAAAGAATTAACAAGTTGTATAAGGAAGGGTAACTTGACAAGTATGATTTTGAATCATATCCAACATGTGAATCTTGTCTCAAAAGAAAAATGACCAAATCTCCATTTACTGAAAGTGGAGAAAGAGCTTCTGAAATATTAGGACTAATTTATACAGATGTTTGTAGGCCCATGAAAATTCAAGCTAAAAGTAGATATTCTTACTTCATCAATTTCACTGATGATATGTCAAGATATGGATTTGTGTATCTTATGAAACACAAGTCTGAATCTTTTGAAATGTTCAAAAGGTTCTGTAGTGAAGTTGAGAAACAGACTGGTAAAAGTATCAAAGTACTAAGGTCTGATAGAGGTGGAGAATATCTTAGTGAAGATTTTACCAGATATCTCAAAGAGAACGGGATTCTCTCACAGTGGATACCTTCAGGAACACCATAACACAATGGTGTGTCTGAAAGGAAAAATTGAACCTTATTAGATATGGTGAGATCTATGATGGGGTTCACTGATCTTCCAATAAATTTATGAAAATATGCAATTACAAAAAATGATACATAGGGAGTAGAAGTAAGTAGAGGCATAGTCAGAATTTGAAACTTTTGGTTTAGAAATTTTAATCTTTTAAATTATTGAATTCTAATTAAATAATTTGTATATAATATAATAAATTTTCTTAAGATAAATATAGGGTTTGAACCAAGCTACTGGATTTCAGCCAAACCCGCAATTGAAAAACTAGCTCCGCCATTGAAGGTAGAGAGATATCTTCTTAATATGTCCCGCTGAAATCCCAAAATCAAGTTCACTAGAAGATGGATCGAGTATAAGCTTCCCTATCCAAGAAAAAAAGAATGAATAGATTTGAGCTAGAAAGCAAAATAAAGGGAAGAAGTGAAAGAAAATAGTACTCACTCCGTCCTGAGTCTAAATTTATGCGACACTCTTTTCTTTTTAATTTTAAAAAATATTATATTTCCTTGTTTAAAAAGGATTTATCTGTAAAACTCTCACTTTACTTTAATGAATTGATTTAATGCCATACAAATATTTATAGCTTATTTTATACCAAAACCTTCAAAAAATGATGTTCTTAAATTTAGTGCGGAGTCAAACATACCACATAACATATAATTGGGAAGGAGGGAGTAAAAAACAAGAGAACCTCAAATCAGCCATGTGCATTGTGCCTCCCTCCATGCTCAAAAAATTACAGTGAATCTTTATCAAGTGTACCAATGTGCACATAATGTTGCAGATAAAAATAGCCAGAGCGAATCTTTCCTTTATTCACCACCCTTCCAAAATTATGCTTAATTAGTCTTTACCAGCACCACATAATATCTAGGACAGTATTGCATTACTTCATTATACACTATTGTATTATTAGGACACTATTGTATTAGAGTATACTGTTATGAGCAGCTATATAGACTCATTGATCGTTCTTACTACCGAGGATACTGACTGCAGCAACAACTGAGAAAATATTAGCAGAATATAGTAAATCTTTAGCCGGAAGAATGCATTCTTAATTATATATTAGTATTAATATAGAAGTGAAGAAAATATGAGAGAGACAGAGAGCAAGACAATGAGAGAGACATTGATTTTTTTATTTTTTTTACCATCTTTATTTTGAAAATATAAATCCAAAAGAGAAAAGAGAGAAATACACATTTTTTTGCCCTAAAATTCTAATCTTTTTGTACAAAGAAACACTATTCAACGAAACAAAAATTAATTCTGAGGCATCCCAAAACTCACCTTTACCCTCCCATAATTCATCAAAATCAACACTTCCAAAATTCACATATTTTAATCAAAGACTTAATCTTTTGCCTTGCAAGACCTTAATCAAGCTATTAGCATGCCTTCTGACCTTCTCGTTATCATCTTCCAATAAGCCCACACAAATCTCAAACACCCCTTCTCTTACAGCAACCACACACATCCTTTCACTGTAACTACACAACAAATTTACTGTCAACAGAGCATATTGCACAGCTCTTGAAGATCCATTTTTCAAGAATTTAATCAATACATCAATTAACCCACCAAATTTCATCATTTCTTGACGACCCTCTTTACATTTTGCTAATAACCCCAGTACCTCAACGGCTCTTTCTAGGCCTGAATTAGCATTCTGAATCAGTATCGGCACGGCCTGGTTCTCCACGGCCCGAGCCCGATTATCTGGAAATGAACATAACGTATACAGAGCTGTAGCAGCTTCTTTTCTCTCTCTAACATTTCCACCCCAAAGAAGCGAAATTAATCCAAGAATCGCATCTGGGTACGCCCCAATTGTCGCTTTATTCACTTCCACCACCGCTAAACTCGTCAGAACCGTGGCGGCCACAGCCCTGGAGTCGCCGGCGCCGCTCCGTAACGCTGCCACTACTTTCCCCACCACCCCTTCAGCCACCAACCCCACTTTGTTATCATCATCCAAGCTCAAATTCAACAGTAAATGAAGCGCCTTTTCTTGTAACCCACCGGCCGAGTCATCGTCCGAGTTCACACAATTAAGAACAGCAGAAACGGCGCCTGACTCAGTGAGTTTTCGACGAATCGCAGAGTCACGCTTGGAGAGCTTACTGAGTTGGTCGAGCGTGTTGAGCTTAGAATCTAAAGGGGAAGAAGAGGAAGCTATGAGGGTTTGAATAAGGGATTGTAGGTCAGGGTAAGATAGTGGTTTCGGGAAAGAGACGAGGGTATAATTGGAAATGAGACTGCGGAGGGCGTGATTAGGGATTAGAAAAACCGGGTCGGAAATGGGGAGTTTGGTGATCGGGCAAGTACGGTGACCGGAGTCAAGCCAACGTTGGATTGAGGAACGGTCGAAGGTGTGACCCGAAGAGAGAATAACCGGGTCGGACATAATCTCGAGCGAAATCGGGCACCGAAAGTCGTCGGGAAACTGGGTTGAAGTTGCCATTTCCTATTTTTGTTTTGTTTTTTTCTTTCTGGGGACTGGGGTTTCTGTTTTATCTCTCTAGATTCTCTCTTTCTCTTTCTATATATGTGTAGTCTATATAGATATAGAATTTGTTTGGGGTTGGGGGGAGGAGGGGGAGGGGTTTATGAGGCTTAGGTATAAGGAAAGGGGTTACACTTGTGAGGTGCAAATATGAGGTGGAGGAGCCCAGCTTGTGACACTGTGCATCTGTATGTGAAATGACTTTTCCCCCCTTTTTGGAAATGAATTTTCTTTCATTAGTTGCTCCTTTTTTGCTTTTCTAACTAATAGCATTTTTGACCAAAAATAAGTTTATTTTGAAAAGTGCTTTTCTTAAAGTATTTTTGGTGAGAAATAGTTTGTGTTTGACTAATTAATTTAAAAAGCACTTCTGAGCAACAATTAGTGTTTCACCAAGATTTAAAAAATTGCTTCTAAATGTATTTTTCTCAAAAGTGCTTCTCAAAAAAGTGTTTTTGGAGAGAAGCTATTTTTTTCTACTTCTCAAAAACACTTTTTTTCATTCCAAAAGCTTGGTCAAATACCTCAATTTTTGACCAAAAGTACTTTTGGCAAAAAAAAAATATTTTTGGCCAAAAAGAAGCTTGACCAAACAGACTATTATTTTGAGAAGTACTTTTTTTAAAAGTATTTTTTTTAAAAGTACTTTTAGTGATAAACAATTTGTGTTTGACTAATAAATTAATTTGAAAAGCACTTTTGAGCAGTAATTAGTATTTGACCAAGCTTTTGAAAACTACTTCTAAGTGTATTTTTCTCAAAAATGCTTCTCAGAAAAGTGCTTTTGGAGAGAAGCTATTTTTTTTTGCTTGTCAAAAAACTACTTCTGTTTCTCCTCAAAAGTATTTTTTTTTCTTTCAAAATCTTGACCAAATACCTTAATTTTTGGCCAAAGTGATTTTTAGCCAAAAAAAAACTTGGCCAAACCGATTATAATAATGGTGTTTGTTTCAAAATTTGCACTGAATTTTGGTCAAAACTGTTCGGTTACTTTATAAAATAAAATAAACACATTTTTTAAACATAAATTGGCTTCAGTAATATGCTAATCCATTAATATCTTAAATGATTTTTTTTTCAATTATGTTGAATGATTGATTGTATAGAAAAGATACATAAATAGGAGAGGGAACTTAACCAAAAGAACATAAGATTGTGTTTGACTCAAAAGATATCGAAACATTTTTGACCAAATCAATCAAAGAAGATGAATGGGTAAATCTTAGTCAGACATAATTGACTCCAGATCAAAGAGCTAATAATATGGATCGCATATATGATAAAAGAGATGTAAATAATCTTATTGCAATTCAATATTTTGTCTCTCATTGATCGATGGGGAGATTGCTTTATATATTCTTCTATAGATTACTTCTTTCCTATCAAGAATACAAGAAGAGAGCTTCGGAGAGAGAAAGGAGGGAGCAGCCCCCTTAGTCGAAGGTTTTCCCTTACTATATATAGTCAAGTCACCCTTGTCCTTTACTTGGGCCGACGTCCTCTTGCCTCCAATATGTCTCGGTCGTCCCTTTAGGTGTTGCTTCTTCCGACTCAACAGATGTCGGAAAAGGGATGCAGAGTGGGCTATGCTATCTTTCACTGCCCAGTCATCTAGGCGGGACGTTGGTTAGTTTGGTCGTGACGGTCAGATTTTGACCAATACAGTTAGTCCCTCCGTCTGTCGGGGTCGTCCCCTGTCGGACTCGGCAGAAGGATCATGATTACTATGAATTCGAGCGAAATCTGACTTCTGACTTTTCATTCCTTAGTTACATTCTTTGGGTTTTTGGCGAGGGGGGGGGCATTCGTTCGATACCCATGGACCGTTGTAGCGATTTCGAAATCGAAACGTCATTTGGTATCAAAGCGCTATTTCGTGGTTAACGCCATTATGACACACGTTCCTGGGGAACTGAAACGTTTCGTGCCCTATCATATTCGATTAGAGACTCTTGGGTTTCGTGCTCGGAGGATTTATGTCTCTTAAAAATAGAGGGAGCTTATCATTCGATTGACACACTTCTTTACCTTTTACTCGAGAGAATTCTGCAGATATACCTTCTTTCTGACCCTCTAAGTTTTTTTTTGCCCTTAATTAACTGAAAATCTCCGTCCTTTCTTTCCGTTGTCTTTCTGTCACCTCCTCTGGGCAAAATAGTTGGTGATTCCACTCGCACTGATCTTCCTACCACAATTCCAGCACCGGAAAATGCTGCTCAGGTCACCAGAGGGGTAGATGCGGTGGAAGATGAGGAGGTCCCATCGATGGTTGAGACCTCGCCCCGGGAGAGAGTTGACCGACTTCAGTACTTGCAGCGGGGTGGAACCGAAACCTGTCCACTCTACTAAGAGAGAAAGGGACATTGCATAGTTGAAAGAAAGGTGGGGAATCCCCAATTACGTTGATATGCGGTCGGCTGTGGGGAACGACATAGTTCATTTCCACCGCTCTGAGTATTGCGTGTTCTACGCCTACCCCTTTCTTATTAGGTATACACTTCCTCTTCCTTTGTTGGTGGTGGATTTTTGCCATTTTTACGGGGTATGCCCCGCCCAACTTTCGCCGTATTTGTACAAGTTATTCCTTATGCTGTTTAAGTTAGCGGAACTCGTCGGTCGTGAGGTCACTTTGGGCCATATGCTCAACATCTTCGCCCCTCAACTTATTCGCGGTACGATGATTCACATGCGTCCTCGGGGATCGAAGAGTCTGGTGGTGAAGATGGACGACAGGACTAACCGTCGTTTCTACGTGAACTACTTTTACGTGCGGACTAAGCACACTGTGGCGGACCCAACAGGATTTGCTGAGAAGTGGAACTTTGCGCGTAAGTTTTGTATTTTTAGTCGGTGAGATGCCCGGTCATTTTTTGTTATGGTACTAAACTTTTATCATGTCTTTGCAGCTGAGAAATTGCCCCCTCCGCCTGTTAAAGGTATTCGCAAATGGGCGAGTGCCATCCTTCCCTATATAGTGGGGGTTCGCACATGGTCGACCTTTTATGAAAGGTTCGGACGTAGGCCTCTTACAGGTGAGTGTCACACCTCCTTTTTCCGCCCCGCGAGGGTGCGTGGAAGTTTTTCCAATTAAAGGACAGTCGAAACGGGATTTATTAGTTTTGTTTCAGAGTCGCCACCTGGGAATTTTAAGGCGTCCCAAGTCACCAATTTTTAATCCCTGAATCGAGGAGAATATGACTTTGTTTGTTATTCTGCGAACCAGAAATCCTGAATAAGTAATTCTGTTAATCCGGAAGAAGGTGTTAGGCATTTCCGAATTCCGTGGTTCTAGCACGGTCGCTTAACTGTTATTATATTTGATTTTGATTTATTAAATGCATATTTGTTGCCCAATTTTATTGTTACCGCTTCTATTTAGACTGCTTGTAATTAAGGATCCTTCTTCGAATCGAATCACGCATACGTGTATCCGTTTTATATATTATATATTTTTTTAATGTGAAAAATCGTGTTACGCGTACGTATACACAATGATATTGATAATATAATTTATTTATTTTTTTTCGAAATTTTTATTTATTTATAAAAATAGACTTAAGTTCGAAATTGTGCTTAAAATAGAATTAAGAACGTTTGTCGCTCTTGTATGATTAAATAGTAAACTAAACATCTCAGGTTATATGAAATTAATTTGATATTCTCCGAAACCCCTTTTTAATAAAAATTTGCTCGAAGTTACGCGAACGCATAATCCGAAATGCCTTTAGAAGTATAATCAAGTCACGCGAACGCATCCCTAATTATGCAAATTAGTTTGGGTCGCATAAATGCGTACCCATGTTTAAGAATGGAATTATTATTATACCGCGCCTAAAGCAATTAGCGTTTTATTTACTTTGGGGAAGGCCGTGAAATTTGTTAAACGGCCCATCCGAAGTCTAAGTAATCAATTAAACAGTTATTGAGGGCCCCGCAATTAGTGTGTTTTATTGAGCGAGGCTCATCTCATTTTTTTATAAAAAAAATAGTCCTAAAATGCCTACATTTTCTGTTGAAATTTTTCTTTACAAAATAAAGAGAAAATGTCTTAATTTATTTACATGTTATTACCTAGTTACATTATACTAGGCATGTTCTCAATTTGTCAAATTAAAAAATAGCAATCCAATTTTAATCCTAGACCATTTATATGCTGAACTTAACCAATATTATTTAACTAAACAATATTTCTACCAAATTCTTACTAGATGGCCTATTCGTTTGATTTTTACTTGACGAAGTTACTACACCATTTATTTATTTTTGGCAATATATAGGTAGTTCAATCGTTAAGCTATCGTCGGATATTCCACTATATGTATTAAATAGCTACACGATTCTGATTTTTTTGCAAACTAAATAAATTATACATACAAATAAAATTCAGAATATAATTAAAACTAATTCAAAATTTCAACTATTTATTTTTTCGTATTCATGCTTCATATTCGGATTACAATAACCAGCTTTCAGTTGTGTACCTGATATCGGAAGCAAAAGAAAATGATGATGAGAATCAGCGACAGTAATAACAATACA